CTTGCGATGTAGGAAGGAGACGTGGAAAAACACTTCTGAATGCCCAAGAGGTGTGCTGGAGCTTGGTTTTGGTCCAAAATTTACGAGCCACGGGTCCTCGGCATCACTTGCAGATGCTTCGAATTGGCCAACTTATTCTTTGAGAAAATCGAGTATATTGGGTAGGCCCCCCCATGTCCTCTCCACATGAACAGACTAGCAATTTAGCCAAACCTCATATGCATTTCCATGCCTGTCGGCCATTCTCATACACGTCGAGCTCGAGTTCTCAAAGAGATTTGCTAAGGTTTGTCAAACAAAAACGAAAGCAGGAGGCCACTGTGAGCCACAGCGGGAGTTTTTTCACCGGAACCCGTCCGAGAAATCCTTTGGCTTGGGGCACCCGGCTGCGGGCCCTTGGATAAGAGACCTTCAGGCTCAAACACCTCAAGTCAGGCTCGAAATTCGAAGCGGATGAATTCAAATGGATTGGGGGCCCTTGGACACCAGAAATGCGGGATGTTTGGTCCAAGCCATGGGTGTTCCAACCCTTCAAGTTTTAGCCATATCTCCACGAAGGTCCTCGAAATTCAGTTGCTCCCCGTCGCCTTTCAACACGGGGCCTTTCTGTCCGCAACATGCCATGCACGGCCATGAAACAGGCACAAACTGTGACGGTGAAAATCTCCGGTGTTCCTACCCTTGCTGGTTCTTAGCAGGGAATGAGGGAATGACCCCTATAAACCATCCGCTATGGTTTCCAGAAAGGGAATCAAGAGGTTCACTAAAAGTCGGAAGGTGAAATTAGGGTTTGTTGATTTTGGTTGGGAAGTTGATTTTGAGGCCCGCATGTGCCGAACCCCAGCCCTCCAAAAGAAACGTAGACTGGAATTGTTGGGTGTGTCTCGTTCTGAGGGTACAATGTTTGGGGTGAATTCACAGGAAACCAACAAGAAACATGGACGGCTCGAAGTGTGAAAGAGCCCTTGTCTTTCTTGACGGACCTCCAAGGCAGGGGGGGTATGCGGGGGCGAGGGGGCCATTCCAGCCCAGGGAACAGAAAGCGCCTAGAAATCATCGCCGAGGGGTGTCTCGCCTTTGGTCGGTGAAAACCAAGGGCAAGATGTTGGATGCTCTCGAACAGGAATCACACACCAAAACCAAAAACAAGAACAAACACGAAAAGAACAGACAGCCCCCCCCCCCGCCAAAGAAAAAAAGAACATGGGTGAGAGCCCAACACGAAAGGTTTGCCTGGATGCAAATTCCAGGTCACCATCACGTTTTTTTTTGTTTTTTTTTGTTTTGCGGCCTCAAACAGGGGAGAAGGCACCCGGCCCTCAGATCCCCTGCTAAATGTGAATAACTGTTTATAAGGCTAGGAAGGTCAATGGGGAAGCCCCTGCAAAAATGGTTGGTGGACATAAATCCCCACCTAAATGACATCCACCAAAGGGTCCCTAATTAAAAAGCATACCCACATTCGGAAACTACCACTAAACCAACCAAAACCTAAGCGGATGGCTGGGAGCCACAGTAATTACACCAAACCACAAACCACGGTCGGTCCAAGAAAACCAACGACAAACCCCCAAACGTGTCAACAACCGCCCTTGGCTCTCTGTCTTTTTCCGAGGGCGCACGTCTTTTCGGGGGAGACCAAAAATGGACCGCCGCACCGCGCCACAATTGAGACGCCCCACGAAAACCCCCCAAAATAAAACGACACGGGACGCGCGAGCCGAATTTTCTGGGACGCGCGAGCCGAATTTCCCAGGGTGGGCGGCGGCCAACTCCATAGACTTTTTAGTAACCCACAAGTTCTTGCTTTTTTTTGAATTTTGGGTGGGGGGCGGGGAGAACCACAAGGAACACCGAGCCGCGCGAACAAAAACGATCTCGCCTCCATGGGCTGCCGCAGCTTCAGGGGCCGCAAGTCCAGCCACGCCTGGCGGGCTTCGGGTCCCCGGTGCTTCCCCACACGAAAAGCGGCGCTTCCCCCCCCGGGTGCTTTCGGGTTGGAAAGGAGAACGTAGAGGTGGCGTTGGGGGGGGGGGGGGGGGGGCGCCGCGTTTCGATTTTCGGGCTTGGAAAGGCCGAGGAGAGTGGATTCAAGATATTAAAAAAAAAAAATCCCGAGGCCGAACCCGGGGCAACGCGAAAAAAGACGTGATGTGCGGCCTCTCGTGCTAATAGACCAAGGGGAGCCGCTCGGTGAAGCCAAACCCCAGTTTTCATTGGGGGGGTCTCACTTTTTAGAGGGACATCAGCACTTGCAGGCTTGTGGTATATGCCTCTATTCTGAATGGTCCGCGCCAAAAGAAGGGAAGATCGCCACAGTCTTCTGCCAGAAAATTCAGGAAGGTCGCCCTTTTCCGGGCTTGGGTGCAACTGCTCTACGTTCTTTTGGTGGGTTCTATCCAATTCAATCCCGTGTTTGACCTCGCTTTCTCTCTCGCGCTTCTCTGTCTCTCTCTCTCTCTCTCTCTCTCTCTCTTTCTCAAAAACATACATGTGCATATATATATATGTATATATGATATATGTATATGTATATATGCAGGTTTTTTTTTAGCAGCCACTGGACATGACCGTGGTCTCTAGCAGCCACCAAACATGAACAGCAACAAACCAAACCATGGAAAAACCGTGCCACCGGTCAGAAGCTAATTGTTGCCTGGGCGCCTGGGCGCGTGTGCTATGGTCAAAGCCAAAGCGAAAAAAAGTGAAGGCAACCCAAAAAAATATGGGCGTATGGGAATATGAATAAGCTTTTAATAGGAACGCAAAAGTGCTTGGTGGACTTAACCATATTAATATGTGTTAATATGTTTTAATATGCTTTACTATGTTTTAATATGTTTTAATGGGTTGGTGGACTTGTTTTTTATCCCAACCGAATTCTGCTGTCCACCCTTAAGCGTTCCAAAAAATACAACATAACACCCATGCTGGTCGACCCCCGCAAAAAGTTCAGCAAACACGGAGCAACCGTCCTTTTGCAAAGGATTCAAAGCTGGGCTGTCCTCAGATCCCCTGCTAAAAGTTTAACTTTTAGTGGTTAAGTGAAACCTACGTATCATTATCAAACCATAAAAACCGGAAACAACAAAAAATTAAGGTAGGCCGAGAAAATGGGTCATGAGCCCAGGTCGAAAGCAAAGAGGTAGACTGAAGGGGCTGGAGAATTCACGGCCATGGGTCAAGACCCTATACCCCCAGTGAACATCCCAATCCCCACTAAAATAGACTAAACTGGGTGGGGCCACGCATGATTCTCGTTGTTCTCGCAGATTAATTTGGTTGTACCGTTCTAAGTATGTAGGCCCCAGTGGGGATCTATCACCAGATGTCCTTGGTAGAAAATAGTCTAACTCAGGGGTTTAGATGCGTGTGTCCGTGTTTTGGGAGGTTAGCCTGGTCATCTGTGGTTTAGAGAAACCAAAAAAGTACACAATGCCATTTGTTGGGTCCACAAAGATCGCAGGACCAAACAAAAGAGAACCAACAGCAGAACCAAGTACTATGGGTATGTGGTTGGTGGAGCTAAATCCGCATATTCTATTTGTATTTTTGGGATGCCATAAAAGGCAACCCTAAGGGAAAACACACCCAGAGTATTCGGATATTTGGCCACGTCAGTAAGTGGTTGGGCACCTGTGTTCTTTCTTGACTTGGGGGGGCTAAAAAGCGGATTATAACCTGGGCTGCCCTCAGATCCCACGCTGGAAACTACCACGGAACCCTAGGCTAAAGGCTAAGGAACCGGATGTCTGGGAGCCACCAAGTAACCCAGGTTACAAACTAACTTACTGGCAACGAACACCCCCAAGTAAGGACCCGCGGTTGATTCACCTCCTTCGCTTCGCTTATTTTTGCCTTGTCTACCACCAGAAGCGCCAGCTCGGTCTGTGCGTTGTTCAGCTGGCCAACGCTGACCTGGCCAATGGGGGGGCGGGGTGGGGGCCGGCCAAAAAAAAGGTGCCGGCTTGGTAGGATAACCAAAGGGAAGACAACCAGTGTTGGGGGCTTGGGTGTGGTTCCCTGTTTTCTTTGAAGGCACCCCCCTTTTGGTCTTAAAGGGATACAACGGGAAACAGTTGCCATATTTGTGGTCATCAAATTTGAGTATCTTGATTCCATCAGTTGCTTTGGAGCAACAAAATTGGGACGTTTGGGCGTGTTTTGTGGGGTGGGCGGAGAGTCCAGGAGGACCCATGTCAGACCCGCTTCTTGCGGGTCTCTTCGTTTATTGGCAAAGGCAAGCAAACCATCCACATAGGAAAAATCCTGAAGGTTCCGGAAAGGATCACCCTGGGCCCCTGCAAATTGCGTGTTTGTTTCTTGCGGGTGCCTTTGTTCAGGTAACTCCCAACTGGTGGCTTGGATTCTTAGGGATTTCAACCCCAGTTCCTGTTCAAACAAGCGGGGAAGGTACTCCTAAACTTCCATACCGCCAGGAGGCTGGCTTGTGGGGTCAAGTTTTCAGGGAAACCTGCAGGGAATTGTTCCATTTCGCAACTGGAACATGTATTAAATACATTTCCCCCCCCCCCACTGGGCATACATTATGAAAGGGGTCCCCCGAAACCAAAGGGACACTTCAAAGCTTCTGCATTTCCCTCGGCTCCGGACGAAAACCCAGGAAGAACACATGGCTTGATGGAGTTCCAGACAAAAGAAACAACAAAACCAGAAGGGGAAGAGGGAAGCCTGGAACCAGCAACCCGAGCCCCCCCTATCCGCATTTGTCATCCTTTTGGTCTGGTTCTGTTCTTTTTTGGAAGAATCGCCCTCTCAAAAGGATCTGTTTAGCAGCCCTTTAATCATAAGGGGTGGCAAACTCCGCAAACCGATCGGGTGGATGGAAAAAAAGTCCAAACTTGTTGCTTGCCCCTAAAATGGTCTTCCACTCTCGGCGTTTTTCTCCCCCCTTGTCGTGATCGACTAGAAAAAACCCGGCCCTTTCTCTTGGGGAAATCAACCACCCCCAAGTTGGAGTCTATCTGGCTCCAAAAAACCGGTACCAAAATGGCCACCTTGGTAAATGGAACCAAGACTGAAACCCGCGTAACCCCAGCTCCTGTATTTTTTTGAGCCGCACCCATCTGAGTAGTATCCGACAAAACATCAGCCTAGGAACCTGGAGCGACGGGTTGCGCCAGTTTAGGCATTCAGCTGGGATCTACAGGGCGGGTGTTAAACCAAAGAAGGTTTCCAGCAATGGTCTTAAACATCTCTAGACCCAACCCTCCCAGCCATGCAGGCACCTCTGGCCGACTTGAAAGTGAGAAATGGCTGAACCTCAACAATGGCGTGCCCTGGTATCATGAGCAACATGGACTTAAAAACAATCTCACGCGGGCTTTTCCACTCCAATTCCTGGAGTGGCAAACCCAAAAAAAAAAGACAAACCCTACCCGCCTTTGGCTCCGAAACCCCACGGCCTCGTCTCTCCAAAATTTCAGCGGACACCGAGTTGGGTATGGGTCAAAATTAAACCACCAGGAATCGGACCGCCGGGTTTAGTCCTTGGTTCCATTTACCAAGGCACCCCATGTTGGGCCTTGGCCTCCTTTCTTTGCGCACCACACCCATTTGGCTTCCCTTCAACAAAACCCACAAACTTGCCACCCACGTGCCGGTTCCTTAGGAACCCAAAAAGGGTTAGGTGCTTTCAACAGCAACAGCAACCAACAAAGGCTTCCCCCAGGCTGCCGACGCCCATTTGGGTTCCCTTCAAAACCAACCAAAAGAGGTGTTTCCCAAAACACCGCGCCCATGTGGCCCACCCCCAACCCCCCCCCCCTCCCCCTGGCGCTCACGTGGCGCCATTTGCAGCTCCCCCCCCCCCACTGATGTGGTTTCAAGCACCCACAGCCCTTTACGGCCCTCGCGTCCCGCCCCACGGACGCCTCGATGTCCACCTCCCCGCCCGGGGCAACGGCTTCCACGCTGGGCGCCACGTGCACCTCCGATGCGAAAAGCCGTGGGGGGCATCGAAATCGGTTGGGCCGCCTGGATTTTCGCCCAAAAAGTGGATGGGCCGCCTGGGATTTTTTGGTGCCCACAGAAAGTTGAGCCAGCAAGTGCAAGTGGTTCTTTGGTGTGATTGTTTCCGCCCCTAAAAGTTGATGCAGCAAGCGCCAGCGAAATGTTTTTTGGTGTCATGCCCCCCATCCCCCGCATCCACAAATAACGAGCAACTCATTGTTGCGGCTCGCACGAATCGGGGTGCAGCAGCTATTGGTTTGCACTGTGTTTGGATTGTGTTATGGGTGCACAAAATGTGAAAATCCTGAGGCTCTTGATATCAAAATGCAGTCTACATGGATCCGCTGCAAACGATTATCCCTTGGTTGACTAGTGGCGTGCCCTCTTGGAGAGGAACTGTTACCTTCTTTGGGCACGAGAACACCCCCTACAAAATCCCCCGGTTCAAAGGAAGTGTCCCATGTCCACCTGTCTCAGGTGTAGGGTCGGTCCAAGAAGCGACTGGCTCGAGTCGAGTGGGTCCAAGAGCACCAAACCGGGACCTCAAAATTCCATGGCGAAAAGCGAAAAAGCTTCAAACCACGGGGTTGTTAGCTTGACAACCAGCTCGAAGTGAGACACCTCTCCAGGTCCTACAAATGATTCAAACACTTGTTGTTGCAGGGGGGAGCCACGACTCAGCCTTTGGCTTCGAGTGTCGTCTTGGCGGGAGCTGAACAATTCAAGGCGTGCTCCAACCATCAGGTTTCACAGCCAAACCCTCTGCAGGCGAAAAAGGGGGGGGGGGGTCCCTTGTCACCTCCCCTTCTCAACACCGGCCGCTTCCCAAGGGAAAGATCCGGATTGGGTTCAGAATGGAAACGGATGGAAGGTACCCTACTAACCCCAACCATTGATTTGACTGTGGTTAATGTTGACTCAGGATGAATAAACCCGTCCCACTATTAGGGGGGTGAAAACCCCTTCCAAACGTGGTCTGAATCCAACCACTAAAAGGAATTGGACACCCCCCGATCAAAATCAACCGATCGGGGTTCTACTTAGATCCGGGGTTAACATTAAAGGGGAAAAAATCCCAGTGCCAAGCGAGCCATTTGCTGGGCGCTCGCCCCGAGACCTCCCACGCCCCCTCCTCAGATTGGGTGTGACGCAAAATGAACCGATCGGAGGGGCAAACCGCAGGTTTTGGTCCATGGGAACCACTTACCAGGGCAAGCCATTTTGGAATTCCGGTTTTCTGAGCCATAGCCATTCTTTTGAAGCCCCACCTGCAGCTTTGTGCCAGGCCGCTCCACGCGCAGGTTCACCTCTTTCGAGACAGAGGTGAAGAAACCGAAGGCGGAACCCGTCACAAATGCAACGCGGCTCGTCTTTTGTCACTTTTGTGGTTTCAAGAAGAAGCCACAAGCAAAACCGAAGAAACAACTTGGGGAGGTCTTCTTAATGTTGGGGTACCAAAAAGCGATGATGACCATGGGAATTTCGCAAATTGGACCGTATTCTGCCCCGAAACCACAAGGGCTTCCCTGAGCGGAAAGAAAGAAAAAGAAAACCAACCCCATACCAGGGTCCCATGTGAATCCCATGGAACCAAAAGGGAGGCCTGGATTTTGCTCGAAGGCTCCAGGCGCGAACTGCATCCCTCGTGTTTGAACCCTAAAACGGATTCTCGCCGAAGAAGTCCTCATAAGGAAAGTCGTGGTTTGGGTAGCTGGGAGCTGGGGATCCCGTTGAAACCATCCAGCCGACCCTAAAGAAAGCTTGTTTCATTCCGAGTCCGTGGCGAAACACGAGGCCTACGAACCGGGGAACCCACAAGCTCGAGGTCAACACTTTGTGAAGCCCAAAGCAGGAAGGAAGCTCCCGGCGCCTTTAGGGGGCCCATGCCAGTCTGACCACGACAAAAGTGCCCAGCCTCCTGGTGTGCAAAGAGGGGCGCCCCCTGCCGCTCGCCCGCCAGGTCCGTCCCACAAATTGGTCCGTGTCTGATTTCACGATGGAAACTGACCTGAACCCAGCTCCCCCAAAAATGGGTGGGTTGCCTTGCCTCGGGGTCCCAAGAAAGGGTTCAAATCCAAATCCAAACCACCGGTTCAACGAAGGGTTACTGGCAACCTGTCGCCAACACAGAAGCCCTCTCTCAATCCGGATCCATCGGTGTCTTGCGCTGCGTGTAACTCGAAAGGTGATTCGGACCCACACAAAAGGGCGGGTGTGTTTTGGTGTTCCTTTGAACCAAGCCAAAAGAGGGGCACCCTCAAAAGCACACAACCATAGAGGATGCACATGGCTTTGTGCTTGCGTCATGTGACAGACCCAAATGGCCCCCCACCAAACGGATTTCCTTTTGAGAACGGACACAAACGGCTTATTGCTGGGAAATTCTCCATCCGCCCGCTGGGGCGCCTTCGGATAGTGGATGGACCAGGGCACCTCCTCAATCGCGGCGCTGGGGTCCTCACTGGTCCACAGGAAGATGTGCACCTCGAAATCGGAGGACTCGATCGCGGAGTCGGAGTTGGGGACTCTCTGGTGTCCACTTGTGGACAGGATCCTTGCGGGGGATTTTTTGTGCACGTTCCTTTTGGATAAAGGAAAGTTGCGGACTGTTAAGTACATACATTTGAGCTTCGCTTTCTGTCTTTATGACATGCGTGACTTCCTTCTATCTTGTTTAACAGAGAGTCACCCAAAAAAAATCTGTATAACTGTGTTCGTTGGGAACATGAATGTGTATCTCTCCATGTTTCCGCCAGCCAAACAATACCATCATTCTGTGATGTCTTTGCCTGGCTTGATGGAGTCATTTGTCAGTTTTTCTCTTGTCCATGTGACGGATCTGTATTTGTTTGATGTACGTGTGCAACATATGCATGAGAGTTGTGTTTGTGTGCGTGTCCAATTGTCCTATGCTTTCTTTTCCTTTGTGCCTTTCGTCCTTGCCCTGCCTTATCTTTCTTTGCCTCTTCCCTGCCCTTCCATTCACTTCCCTTCACCTCTCTTGGCTTAGACTTGTCTGTCGTTCTGTCTTTCTGTCTTTCTGTCTTTGGGTCTCCCTCTCTTTCTGCCCTGCAGAGTTGACTGCACAAAAAACAACCTCATCGTTTCGCGATTTGACCAAAGTTTCTATGAACAGATCTGAGATGGCTTGCACTACCCCCAAACCTCTACCCCTAGGGCTCAATCAAGGCCTATACCCTTTACCCAGTGGTTATAAACTGGTTCCCCCATGTTTTCCTTGGGGAGTAGCTTCACTTTGGGGGTAGCGGTTTGGCACCATCTCCAACAGGGAAGCTCTCTCGCTCTCGCGCTCTTGCTCTGTGCCCAGAGTTTCCCTTGGCTTCCCGCTTGGCACAGGGTCATGGGGCAATCCTGCTCGTTCAGCACCCCGAGATCCACCTGCGATCGGCATGGTATGCGTCAAAATCGGAATCGGAGCCCCAACATGGGTGTTGATGCTTGGTTTCCCTAAGCCGCCCACAAAAGAGACAACCCTCAAAAGCCACACACCCATGCGCCCAAAACAAAGGAGAGAAAGCCGTCAGAGGCCCGAGTCCAGGCCCGAGTCCAGGCCCGAGTCCAACCACTACAGGTGTGCATCATTGGTCAAGTCACCATCCTCTATTGTCCTGAAGCATTCTGATTCGCCAAGCCCGAGACAAGATTCGGTCACTGCAGTCTTGGTTGGCGCTCCTTCACTGCCTGATGCTCTCCCCATCTGGGGCTTCCTTTTTTGAAAGCGGGGATCAAGGGGGTCTGGTTGTGAAACCTATACCGGAAGGCTCTCCAAAGCTTTTCGGTCCCGAAATGTCGCATCTCGCCTTTTCAAGGGGGCCAATTCGAACTTTGCGCAGACGGTTCAACCCCTGGGCCGTGGCTTCCTCAAGCCTCGTAATGTGGGGGGGCCTGTGTTGTGTTTGGAGTTGGAACCCTTTCTGGTTGCTGGAGGGAAACCAAAAGGAGCCAACCTTCTTTTTATTTGATTTGGGTGGGGGGGGGGTCTTTGAAAAACACGGGGCGGCCAAGAGGTAAGATTCCATCAGGGTTCCGCCAGGGTTCCGCCAGGGTTCCACGAGGGTTCCACAAGGGCTCCGGGGCGGCCCTGAGGCAAGGTTGCACGAGGGTTCCACCAAGCGTGCCACAAGGTTCTGCGAGGGCTGCGGGGTGGTGCGAACACTAAAAAGAGCACCGCATGCTGCTGGGGATACTGTGGATGGACGAAATCCATTTCGCACCAGTTTGAAACCAACGGAAACCATAACGTTTGCTGGTATTTACAGGGGAATCATCAGCAACCAGGGTGTCTTGGGTGGTGCCTAAGAGGAGTTCGTCCATCCACAGTATCACCCGAGCTTATTTTTTTCCAGCGGTGGGTGCCCCGGCCATGGTGCGAGTGGGCGCCAATCACACGGGTGGAGACTTGACGTGGCCAACTTGCAACATTTAGGGGGCAACCGTGGCTCGGACAAAGGAACATGGGAAAACACCTGGAAAAGTGCGGGGGAAACTCCGCAGATGGACATGGAACCGAAAAAAAGGCCGAATCATGCTCAAGCTTTAGAGGACCACGTCTTTGGATTCCGAGCGCTGATTTGCAAAGCGATGGTTTTCCCGGTGGTGTCCTTTTAAACCAACCCAAAATGGGGGCCATCGTATTCTGCAAAGAAAAAAACACCCAAAAACACAAGGCCAATGTGGATGTAACCGGCACCAGACACATGCCGCGAGTCACAAAAAAAGGCTGCCATTTGCTTTCTCGCCCCCTGGGAAAAAAATAAATAAATAGATAAATAAATAAATAAATATGTATATATATATATATATACATATATATATATATATATATTATGTTTTTTCCAGTAGTGATAGATTCCCTTCAAAACCAACAGGGGGAAAAAAAAGGAAAAAAAAAGACAGCAAATGGAAGCAAAGAGTCCCCCGATCTGGGCTCCGGGGCCGTTTGTCTCGAGGACACATTTTTCAGCTCCTTCACCTGAGCGAGCGAGGGAGGGGTCCCTGATGAAAAGTAGGGTCAGGTGACGGCAGATGGGTGTGGTGTTCCCTGTTTTGGTGGTTCCCCAAAATGGCGGCTTGTTTGGTTGGTTTCCTTTTAGCACCAACCAACCAGGGGTTTTCTAGCTGACCCCTGGTATCCTCCAAGGGACCCTGAACACTCGGGTGGTTTGGCTTGGTTAGGTCAGCTTGGTTTTCCCAACCCTCAAGCCCAGTTTCTGGTGATGCTTTGCCTCTGGCGGCCCAGGTACCCTCCCACCAATTCACATGGAACCTGACGTTGGGGGGGGGTCCTATTTTAGACGTTTTTCTCCTTTTGAAGGCACCCCCGAACGTCAGGCTCCTTGTGAAAAGGGTGGGAGGTTCTCCCTCAAACGGAGCCTGGCTTTTGGGGGTTGCCCCTTCCGTGAGCCCTTCGAACACCTTCAATTGCTCGGACTTGGCATTTACGGGATTTCGGTCAGCCACCCTGGGTGCCGCGAAAACAAGTCACAGCCTGGGTGCCCCTGATAGGGCGCAGGCGTTGGGTGTCCGAAACATTTTTAAGCCAAACCCGGAAGCAACGGGCACCCATGAACGCACACGGAATGCGGGCTCCCAAAAAATGAATGCGATCAACTGGTTGGACAGGTAAAATGAAAATACCTTTAAACGTTGTACATGGTTGATACATTGAGAGTCCAATTGAGAATCCTCATTGAGGTTTAAAATTGACTGTATGAGAATACCAATTTGTTTAAAGATTAAATGAGGAAGTCGATCCTTTGAACATACCCAAATGTTTCAAAAGGAGAACTTGATCTGTTGACGGAGTCCTGATGACTCAATCCTTCGAAACCCGGCGGCAACTCCTCAGAGTTTGGTTCCCCAAATGTAAAGCCGGTGAACCAACCACAAACCATGGCGCACCGCAGGCTTTCAACATGTCCGTTGCAATCCACAGGAAACTGCAAAGTTCCTCGAGGATTTTGAAAGACCATGCGAGTGTGTCTTGTTGGGGGACCCCTAAAAAGGGCGGGTGTGCTCCCCTTCAAACCGATCCAACCGCACCCAAAAAACCGACACTTCCAACAGAAAGAGCCCCAGTCAGGCAGGCGGAGGCCTCGAAAACCGGCGCCGAAAATGCTGCGGGCGGTCTGGGTAGTTTTGTTTCTACTTATAGGTCCGATCGATGCAGGGTACGTCAGCTAAGTGGTGAGAGTAAGCCTGGTGAAATAAGCGACTGAACGGAGACTTATAATCATGGTAAGAGGGTCATAGCCTTACTGAGTACCCAATCGCCGCTTTGAGTATGCGCCCATGTTGACGGCTTTCTCAGCCGCCCGCCTCACTTGGGAGAAAGGATAGTGGCTTAAGCCACTGCGGCATGGCTCCTTCCAAATTTTTGGCGTTTTCTCTTCTAGGTCCTCCAGTTGAGAGGATAGAATAAGGGTACTAACTTTTTGTCTATTTTAGTAGGGTTTCCCTCCCAACCAAAAAAGGGGTGAGAGATCGGGCAGCATTCGCTGGGGGACCTAGTCTTCCAACCTCGGCAACCGCTCGTTACCCGAGCCCACGGCGGAGGGCCGCTCGCCCCAAATCACCAGCATCCGGCTCTGCACCATCAGCGGGTTCCACACCTCGAACCGGACGCGGGGACAAAAAGCAGACCGACCAGGAAAGCATAGCTTTTTCAGGGAACGTAGGGGATTCTGGACGAAAAAAAACTCACTGAAGATTGGCGCAACCAATGATACATTGGCAGCCCAAACATGTGACTGAAGCGTAAGATCACGCATTAAATTGGCCAAAACCAGTCGTCAATGGGAAATCTGATTGAAACCCTTTGGCCCCACTTGGAGAAAAAGGGCAACACGGCACTATGCGCCTGGATCGCGGGTCAAGCTGGTGCCATGATGTCTGGAAATTGTTTTGCTTGACTGTTTCTAGCTGATCATCGGTTCCAAGCTGCTCACAAGGATGACAATGCTTGCACGGCCCCACGTGAGACAATGTGGTTCTTGCCGCAGAACTCAAGAAAGTTGTCCTTCGAGTCCGCTTTTGCTTGAACACGTAGTCATCCGCTTCCAAGCAAGCGACCAGTTCGCTTCCAGAACAGGATACAACATTGTTTGTCCCTGTCGGTTTTTCGTAAAAAGGCAGATAGGGGAGCACAAGAAGATGGTGAGGTATGTCTGGCACTTCACACAGGTCACTGGATTTCCCCTTCAAAGGTTGATCAATTTACTGGTGGTGTCCCTTGAAACGATCGCCACTTTGGAGGTAACCCAAGAAGGGAAATGGCCCCTCACAACAACTGCCAAACTGCAAGCTCTTCCAACCAGTCGACAGCACCTCGCCAAAAGACGAAACAAAGCTCACTGAAGATTGGCGCAAACCCAAAAATGCGACCAAGCGTAAGAACACTCGCTGAGTTGGCTAAAACCATTCCATCGATGGGAAATCTGCTTGAAATGCTTCGCGGGTCAAGCTGGTGCCGTGATGTGTTGCCCGGGAATTGTTTTGCTTGAACCTGGGGCTTGGGGGAGGGAGGGCAGGGGGAGGGAGCCCAATAAGCCCTGAATAAGGCCTTATTTGGGCTCCGTCTCGCTCCCCTCCCTCCCCCAAAGGACCAAGCACAACACCCAACCAAAATTCTTCTCGGCTGACACCTCTAGACGAAGCTCCTTTTATGGCTGCTTGCAGCCAGTGGATATTCTCAAAGAGAAGTGGGGAGGTGATTACGTCCCTCCAAATTTACATGGAACCCACAAACCAGTCATTCCCACACACCACGCCAAAAAATCACCGATCGCAGTTGTCAATCTTCAGCCCTCCGGTCAAACGGCTGCGCTCCCGCCTCCAACTTGACTGCCTCGCCGAGCCGGTAGGAGTCAGCAACCTTCACCTGGCAACAGTTTTTCCACCAAACCCCCAAAGTGGAGTGAAGGCCCGTTTACGATGATGGCTAGTCTTCCAATACCTCCATGATTGCTGGAAAGAGGATCCCAGTTGGCCGAAAGCAGTTGCTTTCCATCGAAATGCTATCGCCGACATCATGCTCACTCCTTTGTGTCTCAAACGGCATCGCCACCATCGTCATCGTCATCGTCATCGTCATCGTCATCGTCATTGTCATCGTCATCGTCATCGTCATCATCATCATCATCATCATCGTCATCATCATAAGACCCTTACATCGTCATCATCATAAGACCCTTACATCGTCATCATCATAAGACCCTTACATCGTCATCATCATAAGACCCTTACATTGTCATCATCGTCGTTAGCATCGTCATCGTCGTCATAGTCCTAGTCATTGGCATCGCCATTGTCATTGTCATCTCCATCGCCATGGTCACCATCATCATTCTCACATTCCTCCTCATCATCATCATCATCATCATCATCATCATCATCATCATCATCATCATCATCATGGTCATCGTCGTCATCATCGTCATCGTCATCTTCGTCGACATCCTCCAAATCTTCACCGTCATCATCGTCAATCGTCATGATCATCATCATCATCATCGTCATCATCATCATCACCACCACCACCACCACCACCACCACCACCACCATTATCACCACCACCATCAGCATCATCCACAGCATCAGCATCATCAGCATCAGCATCATCATTAGCAGCAACAGCAGCAACAGCAGCAACAGCAGCAACAGCAGCAACAGCAGCAACAGCAGCAGAAATCGCCATCACAGTTCTGACCGAATGCCAAAGAAATCGTCACAATCCTCGATCGTCATGATCATACTCTTCATTATCGTCATTCACATCTGTTTCTAATCCACAGGCCATTTGCTGAGTTGGTGCACCGCCTAAACACAAGCCTCACGTTCATCAACAGGCAAGACCGGATTGACTGGAGGTTGGTGTAGGGTATCCGGCAGATTCTGTCCTTTGTCTTTCTGGCAAATGCGCAGCCCTTGAGGTAATGAGTAACTCCGGTGTAATTATGCTTTCGCCGCCCTTCAACACAGGCCAACTGCACAGCCCATGGATCAGAACGTTCCATTCATATCCATAGGGGGATTTATGTCCATTGCGCCATGGACCCCACGTTTTTGTTGCTAGCAATTAGACTTCCCAGCTTAAAAACGTACACGTTTTCCGCCCCTGAAGAATCAGGAGCCCTCCAAATCAGTGGCCTGTTGCCCTTCATGGGTCCGTGTGTTTGAAGAAGCCGATTCCAACGGGTACCGGTTGGGGTCCTTGAAAATGCTGACCCCGGATCAAACTAAGCCCCGGCCTCTCACTACGGGCCTCAAATTCAAAAAATCAACCAGGGGTTGTGGAGAGAAAAAGCAATCCGCGGGGTTTCTTTCGGTATTTTTTTACCCACGGAGTGGTCCCTCATGTTGAGACTCGAACCATTCCAATGGTCCGGCAAGCGCTCGTGAGCCAGTTCCCTTGCGCCTGGAAGCGCTCGAAGATGTCAGGCGAAGCCAAGGGCCGACGCCTGATGTTGCACCAAAGAACCCTCTGGATGGACGAAATCCATTTTGCGCCACCTAAGAAACCCCGGCTTCCGATGATTCACCTTGAAACCCCGGAATCCATTTCGGGTAGGTCCCCCCTCAAATGTCAAATTTTACTCTCTTTTTCAGAAACAATTAAGAAGCTCAGGTGATATCCCCAACAGCATGCGGTGCTCTTTTCCCCGCAGCCCTCGCAGAACCTCGTGGAACCCTCGCGGTGGAACCCTGGTGGAACCCTTGTGGAACCTTACCTCAGGGCTGCCCCGCACCACCCCGGAGCCTATCTGGGCTGAGACCCCAAAGCTTTCAGCTGTTGGGGAAAAACTTTAGAAGAAAAAAAAGACAACTAAAAAAAATGAAGAAAACAATATGGAAATGGATAGTATTCTGTGGAGTTGCCTCCAGCTCAGCCGCCCGCGCCTCCAGTCATGCAAGCTCCGCCCAAGGAACTTGCAGCTGGTCACCTCGTGGTCCTGATGGGCCCGAGGGACCCCGCCAACCCGATCGGCAGGTTGGTTGAAAAGGAATCCCCAACTCAGCTTTCAGCGGTGGCAGCTGAATGAGACAGGGATTGATGGCTTAGCCAGAAAAAAAAAACTGGAGGGGGTTCATCCAAGAGGCCGTTCCCATGACTGCTGTTTTGTGTTCATTCTTTGGGACATGTGCCTTCGCCGCAGCCATAAAATGCCCGCACACAGAGCTGTACAAAGGCCGGGCGGCGCATGAAAATCATTGGGCACCACTCGGGCGTTCGACAAACAAACGGGGTCCCGGCTTGCAACAAAACTGCACGTCACATCCTCAAAAGCGACAACCCGGGGGGAAAAAAAAAACAAAACAAAAAACACATGCACCCCGCCTTCAGCTTCTTGTCTCGCCTTGGCTCTTTGTCCGGGGCTACGAATTGCATGGGATGTTATATGGGTGTGTCCTTTTTGTAGCCCAAAATTGCAAGGCTTTCCTTTTGCTTTCCAAATAAACCGCAAGAAAAGGGTACCCTCGGAAAAAGACACTCCAAACGAGTTTTAGAGTAGAGTGTTCCCCATTTGTAGTTCATAGCCGCGTGGAAAGTGCAGGGAAATCGACCCCCCCCCCCCTGTGTTTGCAAGTGTCTTTTGCTATGCCGGAAATGGAGCCCGTCGCCGGCCGAAAAACGATTGGGGTGGCTTTTTGAGGCTTGGTACTCTTCACTTGACATCAAAGGAAGACCCCGATGAGGCAACTGTCAGGGGAATGGGTTCTCGTCTGGATTCCTCTCAAATCCGAGCCCCCCCTCAAATCAGAGATCAGCCAGTTTTCCACAGCAAACAACCTATTCATATGTCCACTCAGAATCCTGGAGTGTGCTCCTGGGCTCTCCTTTAGACAAGCCCTAAAAGAGACAGTTGTATGTGATTTCTACAGGCCTTAACAATCCCAATCAAACCAGGTACTCAGGTGTTCGGCCAAGTTAGACCGCACCCTGATGACCCCTCCCCCCCCTCCAATCGGGGGTCCCCTTGCTTAGCAAGGAATCCAACCACTAAAATGGGACCCCCTGCTGAAAAACACCTCCGGAAAGGTTTATGCATCAGGAGTCTCCAAGTAGGAACCGCACCACCTACTAAAAGGCCTCGGGCATCGGTGAACCCTGATTTCTAAGCAAACTAACCTAAAAAGGACACCTATGCGCACCAACTACTACTGCCCCGGGCATCCTTTCAACCACGGGCGCGGTGCGAACCGCGCGGTGTCCATAGGGCCACGGCACGGCGACCTTCGCCACCAGAGCAAACTTCCCGGCGCTGGGCAGCCTCCCAGGCGCAGCAATAAGAAAACCAAACAAAAAATCACCACTCGTGGGAGTGAAAAGATATGGGGGGGCGCCTCCTTTTGTGGTGGCACACCCATGTCTGGTGGTTTTAAAAGGAAACCAGCATTAAAAAATACATCGACACTTGTGTGGGCATGTTAAGACGCACCCAAGTAAGGTCGGCCAAAAACCGCCCTGCCCAAAAAAGAAAACGAACCGCACGAGTGGTTTCGAGGGAAACAAGTGGGAGAAATTGTGAGAACCCAAGATGCTCACTTTGACAGAGTTCCGTTTCAAGGATTACATCCTGCTTTTTCGCGGATTTGGATCCTCTAAATCAGCTGATATATTGAGTGATCTTTTTAGCTGGCCCTTGGTAACCTTCAAGGCACTCTGATGAACATTTGGGTGACGTTTGGATTGCTGTCGAGGACAGGTCGGTGTTCGGGGCCCCTCGAGGACCAGTTGAAATTTACCCATCCGAACCACCAAGGCTTCAGACAGCCAAGAACCGCCGTCGAATTGAAGATACTCATAAAGCAATGGGGGGGGGACCTCGCAACACCCGCAGATTCGGAAAACCCTTCGGCCCGGTCTGACGCATGGAGGTTCATGCTTATTCCGGGCATGTAGGGCATTCCAAAAAAGTAGCATTCTAACATGTTTGTCTCGCCAGGAAACCGCAAAATGAGTGTTTTCCCTTTGGTTTGCAAGGCCTCGAAACAGACACGAGCGGAGAAATGGCCCTGGCAAAACCATACTGTGGATGATTGCAAAATCCATGTCGCACCACCTAAAAACCCCTGGGGGTGATTTGCTTCCCCTGCGAATACCAACAAACGTTATGGTTTGCTATGGTTTCAAAGTGGTGCAGGATTTCGTTCACCCACAGTAGCACCGAACGTAGGGGACGAATCCCTTTTAGAGAGGGGTCCGGGTCCGGATCGCTCTCGGGATGAGCTGAGCTGCGGGTGCCGCCCCCCGGAAATCAGCTCACTGATTGGTGCCCTGGATGGGTGGTTTGGTGGTTCGGGCTGTCCTACTTACCCTCAAGAAGGGGTTCAAAGTTCAAATCCACAAACCGCCAAACCGCCAATTGAGGGTGGCCTGATATGGCCATGGGTCAAAATCCAAATCGTACCCCCGGTGAACATCCGATTCGATCCAACCACTAAAATAGGTTCTAAAATGGGTGGTGACTTCACCTACCAAAATGGGATCAACCAAACGGTTTTGACCACCACAGCCATATTGTTCTAACAAGACGCGTGCTGGCCTGAAGTCGCAGAGGGCTGGAGCCGTCAGAGCGATGCTCCGCTGGCACATCCTGTCGTTGCAGTTTACCGCGAGCAGTACTGCCAGCCACGAACGGGTCTCCACTGAGAAGGGGGAACCCGTCCCAAACAAAAAAAGTAAACAACAAAAAGCAAAATCCATAGGCAACTGGGACTCGAAAGCTGATTTGTTCTTGGCTCCGATTTCCACCCTAAGACTTCAACCAGAAAGGACGCGGATCGGCTGCCACGTGCATGACGTCACAAAGATGCCAGGTGTACGTTGTCAGATCCTGAGGCGATCAAAGCGAAGTCCGGAGATCTCGTGGATATCGCGAAGATTTAGTTCCACCAACCGCTGTTCAGGCAATCACCCTAAAACTCAAAGACCTTCATTTGCTGAAGCCTGGAAAAATGAAAACAGTGTGTCCAGTCATAGATTCCATTTAAAACCAACAGGGCAAAATATAAACATATAATCAAATGTTTTGGTCCATTCCGGTCGACGAGCAAAACGCCTCTCCCATGTTTTGGTACATGCAAACAAAGACTAAAACCTGCGTAACCCCAGCTGCTGAATTTTGAGCCACACCCTTTTTTACGTGTTTTGGCCACCACCGGAGCCGAGCTCTTCTTTCCGAAAATCGCCTCAGGCGCCCACCAGAGCGTCCTCATGTGCCTTCACCCAATCCTGGCGGGAGATATCGCCAACTTTCAATCGACCCGAGCTGCATGTCCCTGACCCCGGATTCATCAGTTCCAGTGGTTCCCTGGGTTTAGTGGGGGATCCTCACTTTTGGAGGGGAACACCCCCCATTAATAGCTGGGCTGTTCTCAGATCCCCTGCTAAAAGTTTGACTTTTAGTGGCTTAGTGGAACCTATCACTAAGACATTAAAAAAAGGATGGCTGGGGTTTCACCAAGATAGCACGGGGTTCTACTTAGACCCGGGGTCAACACCACATCACAAGGCAACTCACCTTCGAATTGGCCATGGGTCAAAATCCCGTACCCCAAGTGAACATCCCAATCCCCACTAAAATATGCTCTAAAACGGGTGGTGAATTCATCTACCAACCAAAATGGGATCCCAAAACGGTTTGACAACCACAGCCAAATTGGACTGCGGATGAGTCTGAGACTCCCCCGGCCGGGATCGAAGGCATGAGCCCCAAGGGGAAGATCGATCGAAACCCTGCTACGAATGGGAACCAAAGGAGAAGGTTTTGCCCTTTTAACCGGTAGTCTGAAACAGCCAAAGGTTTCCCTCAAAAGGGGCCCCGCAAAAGGGCGCCCTCAACAAAAGACAACCCAACTAGGTCCTCCAGTTTTGGAGGTTAGAATAAGTTGGTGCCAACCTTTTTTTCTGTAGTCTGTTTGAGTCGGGAAACCCTCCCAACCAAAAAAAGGGCAAAAGGGCACTACTGGGGGACCTAGCCCAACCAAAAAAAGGTGAGAAAGGGCACCTAGCTGGGGGACGCCTGGTAATGTGTCAAACCGGACACATCGGCACCCCTTGCATACAACAACGGGGTGCCCAACTGCTTGCTGCATCAGGCAGCAATGCAAAAGTCTTCAGAGCTGCGGCTCTGTCCGACACCCCAGGCTCCCATGAAAATACTGGCTCGCCCAATTTAGGAAGAAAAAACAAACTAAGCTGGGCCGTCCGTTTTCAGATCCTCTGCTAACAGTGAATAGCTGCTACCGGGCGAGGCCCTCCAAACCATCCTCTCAGAAAGTGAACCCTGTGAGATCCTGAAGCTCCAGGTGAAATCTCGGGGGCCCCTTGCACTGTAACTTACCCCTTAAAACTCCAAGGGTTGGGGAAGTTTTCATCTTTTACAGACATATAGCCCATGTTACTCAAAAAGTTGAGAAAAGTTGTGTTTTTAAGAGGTAAGACAATTGATCCATGTTTTTGTTTTCGGGGGCCGCACGTTTCACCGCCCACCCTGCTGCCCTGCTCTCTTGTTGCATGCTCTTTGCTTTGCCCGGAGCGAAGCCTTGCACGTTCTCGCCTGCGTGAAGATCTGTTTGTTTTCTTCCCAATCGCCTTGCAAAAGGGTGAATGAAAGTCGAGGAAAGGCAGCATACAGACAGGGGCCGGACAAAAGCAAGCAAATCCATTTCGCGCCCCCACCCCCACCCCAAACGCACCTGGCATATCATATGTGTCCCGTTAGCCCCTGGTTTGGGCATAGTAACAACACCATAGAAAAAGATGCTGGGAGAATCATGGCGGCGCCGCCATGCAGCCTCGATGCAACCGGAGGAAAATCGACATCGCTCGCAAACCATGCAATCTGCTTGACAATTCTGGGTATGGGCATGCAACAAACAGCGTGTTTTTAGCGCCCTTTTCCCCCCGCCACTAAAAATGAAGAGACCCAAAAACCCCTACAAAACCGAACATGCCCACAACGGTGAAGCCTGACAGGGTTCGGAGCGTGCGGACCCTCCAAATCCTGAAGGTATTTCTCTGGTGAGCCGCCCAAACACCCATCGCAATTTTGGGGGGCCCACCCCCGTGCTGGTCCCGTTTTCGCCACCAGGTTCCAACAAACTCGGCAGAGAGATCTCCAAGCTACCTTTCTGGGTTCTTGCAAGGGCTTTAAAGGAAAGCCAAAGCGTTTTTCGGGTCCAGATGATCTTTTCCCACGAGTTGCAAACCTTGCAGATTTCCCTACCTAGTTAGCTCCGCGTGTGCCGCCAATTTTCAGAGTCCGCCTGACTGTTGAGCATGCTCCAAACCCCAAAGTTGAAACGAGTGGAAGAAGAAAAAAACTGGGACCACAGAAAAAGCGGGATGGTGTCCTGTTGGTCCGTTTCACCATCTGAAAGGATTCGCTGGCACCTGGTTGAAGTTAGGTTCCTCCATTTGCTTTGATTTGGGGGTCCTATGTCAAGAAGTAGCGGGGTCCCATTCGTTTCACCCATTGACGTTTGGTTCTACTAATGTGGCTGTGGGTCAAAAATTGGTACCCAAAATAAGTTGCCCTGGTAAATAAAAACAATGACCAACACCTGCGGCTTTTGTTTTAATTTTGACCCATACTCATGTGAGTCATAAATCAAAACCCGGTATCGAAATGGTCGTAATCCCAGAACCATGCTTCAAGAATTAAGAAGGCGGAAGTCCGCAGCTATTTACAAGAAAATTGTCCCTTACGAACTGGATGCCTCCCCAACACCCCCCCACCCCCACCCCCCCCACCCCTCCTATTCCCCTATTCCCCACCCCCCTATTCCCCCATTCCCCACCCCCCCCTCCACCCCCACCTCCCCCCCCACCCCCCAATCGGTTTTGAGCAAGTGGCTCATGTGGTTCTGACGTATTCCGGGCCTGAAGCCCAAAGCCAAGGCGCTCCCAGACTCCGCGTCGGCGGGCACGAGGAAGAGCCGGGCGGCCTTGGGCAGCTTCGCTTTTGGGGCCCGCTTCGCCAAAAAGAAAGAGTTGGCTGTGGGTCAAAAATCAGTACCTTGAATGGCTTGCCCTGGTAAGTGGAAACATGGACCAAACCCTGCGGTCCGATTCCTGGTGGTTTAGTATTGACCCAAACCCAGTTGTGTCTTTTCGAGGGTGCCCTTTTGGGCTGGTGGTCTTAAAGGGAAGCCAAAAGGGATAATCCCACCGTTGTTGTGTTTTCGTTTTTTTATGATCCACCCGGGACCCAGCTTGGCCGTCAAAGTCAGATTCTGAAAAATACCCTCCTTGGCAAGGTGTCCCTTTGGGATAAATCGATGGCCCTGGTAAATGAAAGAAAACCCATCTAAAACCAGTGCCGTCCATTTCAACCTAAAACGACACCTATGCCACGATCACTTGCTCAATGCCATCTGAGATGCGGACATGTTCTCCAATGCTCCAGCCTTCTTCTGGATACGCAGCCTCAGATGCATTCAGGATGCAGTGATGTGTCTTCTTGAGGCTGCTCTTTTTGAGGTGGCAACGGCGAAACTCAAGGTACCCCCCTCCCCCCCACCCCAAAAATGTGGGGTTCCCCCATGACCCCACGAGCACGGAATTCCAAGCACTTGACTAAGATCCTCTCCAGGACATGGTCAACTTTTCATAAATCCTTTGCTCCATAACCAGGAGTAGGTCTTTTCATTTTGCGGCACTAGGTCATGCAACGGCGCATCCCCCGAATGTCTTCGGATTCATCCGGAGGAGACCCTTCGGACAGTGTCCCTTGCAGGGGCTTGAAGTAAGTAATTTCAGGCGCTCCTTCGGCCTACTCCGAGGTCAGTTTTCCAGAATGGTCGGACAGAAGTTCCATGTACATCTCCGCCGAAGGTCCCTTGAGAGCCTAAGAAACCATTTCTTGAAACCAGAACGCTTGGCAAGAGGCGAATCATATCATTCCATGGGGTATCTGAACGGTGCGAAAAATAGATTTCATCCATCCACAGCAAGTTCCATGTAGATGTCTGAAGGCTCCTTTCAATAGCCCAACTTCCCCCCCAACAAAAAACTTCTCGAAGCCCGTGCGGCGGTTTCGCGACGCCAATTCGCGCATCGCGCGTCGCCATTCCAGCCAGGTGCCGGGCTGTCAAGTGCGCCCAAACCTCGAACTTGTGACCTCGGAGCGGTCAAACCTCACGACGAGTGAAACGGGAGTGGCTCAGTTCTCTTGAAGACCCTATGGAAAATTTTAAGTTCGGCGGAAGAGAGTTGACGTCAAATGGGCGTGACAATTTTCTTTGGGATCCTTTGGAAAGGAAGGTTAACTTCGGGTTATGTCCAAGCGCTTTTGGTTGGTTCTAACTCTTACAGGTTGTTGCCAAATGAGGTCTCTTGCAGGGGGCTGATGTATGTCTGGTGATGGTGATGGTGATGGTGATGGTGATGTATGTCTGGCACTTCACAGGGGCTGCCTGGATTTCCCCTAAGGTTGATCAATTTACTGCTGGTGTCCATTGAAACGATCGCTACTCTCAACACAACACGAAGTTCAAAGGAAACATGCCAGCATGGGAGGTGGAAAAACACAAACACGGAATATGGAATAAACACAAAATGAAAAAACACAGAAAAAGGAAGCAAGGAAAAACGGTGTTGTTAAAGAAAACAAAACACGGTTCGAAACACGAGGAAGAAGCAAAACAGCAAAAAGCTGAAACAAGGAAACAAGAACAAGCGGGGGAAAGGACCTCCTTCCCCCCCCCCCCCCAACTTCCGCAGATTGCCCCCTGCCTGGCAAGGGTCCGTCAGAGTTGTGGGTGTCTGCAGATGTCCTCAGGGCGCTCAAGCGGCGCAGCCGCCAAAAGCGGTCTGGGTGCCAACCGAAACGTCCAACCCCTCTTGGAACAACTCACCCTCCCAAAAATTCACCTGGAAGCTGACTGAGGGCAAGGCGGAAAATCTCACCCTGAGGTCCATAAACATGGAACATGGAACTGAGCGGTGCTGGAAAAAAAATGACTTTCCTTTAACAGGGATCCTTAGATTATACACCTGAACATTGCAACTTGTAAATGGTGTTTTCCCCTTATTTTGGTGGAAAAAGCCATGTTTCAAATGGGCAAAATGTATCTTTTAAGGAGCCCTGTTTAAAAGGGGGCCTCAGATGGGTTCCGTGTTAACGTCAGGAGCTTCGGTACGCAGAGAAGGGTGTCCCACCGGCTACAAGAGCCAAGCGCTCGCTGAGTTCTCGTGAAGAGGCGCAAAAAGGTGAAGCTGTTGCTCGTGCATAGCAGGATTCCCCACATGTCCTCCCTACTCACCCCCCCCCCCCGGGAAACTCCACCAGGCCGGCAACCAGGTGAGGGCTGAACCAACCGAGAGGGAAGACATAGAGAACCCTAACAAAGAACCCCGAACTTCAAGTGGCACACAAACGAGAGACCAGTCTGACAGGGAATGGCCTCTCATAAGTCTTGACCTGGTTTCCTTTGGGTCTCCCTTTTGAAAAACAACCTAACAAGGCTACCAGTACAATAAGACCTCCACATAAGTAACTCCCTCTCTTCTCCTTTCGCGGCATCCGATTTTCGTCTTGAACCAAAGGAGGGCGCTCCACAAATTCGCAGTGCGAAGCGCCGGTTTGGAGCCCCGGTGGAGCCCGGGGGCGTTGCAGCGGTTTTTTTTGTTTCTCTACGGAGGCCAGGGGTTTTGAAATCTCCAACTCCAAACCGATCCAAACCGCCCCAAGGATGTGATCTGACTTGAAAGCGGGGTTTGAAGAAACCATGGGCCAGGTGGAGCGAGCTTTTCTTCGGGACCCTTCGGAAAGGAAGATCAACTTCGGGCCACCGAGCATGACGAAGTTCGTTGCCAATGAGGTCTCTTACAGGGGGCCTGGATTTCCTCTAAGGCTGATCAACTTACTTTTGGTAATTTCAAGAAGGAAACGGAGGAAACCCCGGTTGAGGCATGGCCGTTCAGGTCAATGCCCCACCTTCGGTTGACGCTTTGTCACTAAAGCTTTTACACGTGACCTGCAACAAATCATGGACAGGGCACAAATGTGTCCTTTGTCACCATGGAATCAGCCAAAAGGAACAAGGGAAACAACGAGACACCCCAATCCACATAATGCGTCGGCCAGAACCAGCCTGTCTTTGCAAAGCCATCGAAAATCAAGAGAACTTCAAATTGCAGGTCAAAATAGGTACCCAATGCCTTGCCCTGCAAACTGGATGGGCTAACATTCCTGCGGCTCAATTGGTTCAATTTTTGACCCACCCCAAATTGATCCGACCAAACACCCACCCACGCGACACCGGCGAACCACGCCCTCGCTCGCTTCTCCTCAGCTCGACGTCATATGGGCCAACTCGCACCGGCAGCGCCCGGGACCTGAAGTTTCGCTGGGTGCCGAAGGGGAGGACCCGCTGGGCGGCGCAGCTTTTTCCGAAAAAATTGGGGCCCCCCCAAAATGGCGCGGCGGGGGTTGCGGCGCTGTAAAAACCATCCTACCAAACCTGGTGCGCAGAGCCCTCATGGCAAATGGATGTGTCTTTTTCCAGGGTTTGGACCGCCAAAGTGGGGTTCCTTTTTGGCTGTCCTGGAAAGAATCACACACACACAATTGGGTACCCTCGATGCAAGACACATCCAATCGTTTTCCGAAGTTGAAAGGTCAAAGGCACGGGCCAAGAAAAAGCTGGTGTATTCTCTCACTAGAGGGAAGCCTTTCCATCAGGAATAACAAGCAAAAAGGGATCGGCCCAGAAAGGTGTCACTAGGGATGCCTCGTTGTTGTGTCTCTCTTTTCAGGAGGACCTAAATCAGAGGCGATCCCCTGTGGAAGATTCGAAAAAGGTCCTTGTGATTCATATGGGTGGCTCGTCTTTCATTCAGAAAATGGCTTCGGATGTCCTTTTGGTTTCCCCTCAAAACACGAAAAGGGGATTCCCGCAAAAACACACACACACCCATATGGTCCTCCGGAGAATCCGAAGTGCTCACAATTTCACATTCCCCCGATAGAGGACACGCGGTCAAAATAGGAGGTTAATGGACCGGACATGAACAAACTTGGCGGCTCAAAATGGAGGGTTCGCCAATCCTAATCTATAATCCCTATTGGGAAGCCACTACAAAGGGGACCCCTTGCGTAACCCAAAAGGAAATTCTGAAGGAGGACCACGTGGGTGTGACTTTCTTGGGGGAATCCCCGTTTCGTGTTTTCAAGGTACAAGGTGAGGATTAAGGATTACCTTTGAACAGCCCAGTAAGATATCTCGGAGTCCTCCCATCAAATGAGTGGCGGAGTCACGAAGCGGAAGCTACCATTACCCACTTGAGCAGCGGGGTCCCATTTCACCGATTTGGGCTTTACTTTACAACGGTTACAACGGTTTGGATGGATGGCTCGTCTGTTCTTTAATTTGGGGACCCCCCAAACAGGGGGGTGTTCCTGTTGGTTGGTTTCCCTTTAAAACCAACCAAAAAGCGGTTCCCCCCAAAACAGACACTCAAATACATGATTCTGCTTTAACCCTTGCTAAGCGGAAGGGGGCTCATCTGTGCCCACATTTTCGGCTCATCTCCGCCCGCACAGAAGTGACTCATCTGCGCCCACATTTTCTGATTTATGTGCGGCCACAGATTCTTTCGCGAATACGTAGAAGTTGACCCTTTGCAAAAAGGGGTCAGCGGAGGATCATCTGCGCCCACACTTTGGGCTCATCCCTGCCCACAGAGAGTCTTAGGGTTTTTTGGGCGTAGGGTCATTAGGGTTTAGGTTTTTAGGCTTCAGGGTTTTCAGGGTTAGGATCTTTGTTGATTAGGGTGTTTAAGGTTTAGGGTTTTTAGGGCTTAGGATCTTCAGCGTTTAAGGATTTTAGGGTTTAGGTTTTTTAGGGTTCAGGCTTTTTTGGGTTTAGGGTTTTTAGGGCTTAGGATCTTTAGTGTTTAGGGTTTGTAAGGTTTAGGGTTTTTAGGGTTTAGGGATTTTAGGGTTTAGGGTCTTCAGGGTTTAGGATCTTCAGTGTTTAGGGTTTTTAGGGTTGAGGGTTTTTAGGGTTTAGGGTTTTTAGGGTTTAGGGTTTTTAGGGTTTAGGGTTTTTAGGGTTTAGGGGTTTCAGGGTTTAGGATCTTTAGCGTTTAGGGTTTTAGGGTTTAGGGTTTTTAGGATTTAGGGTTTTTTGGGTTTAGGATCTTCAGTGTTTAAGGCTTTTTGGGTTTAGGTTTTAAAGGGTTCAGTTTTTTAGGGTTTAGGGTTTCTAGGGTTTAGGGTTTAGGGTTTTGGGTTTTGAGGGTTTAGGATCTTTAGTGATTAGGGTGTTTACGGTTTAGGTTTGTAGGGTTTAGGGTTTTTAGGCCTCAGGATCTTCAGTGTTTAAGGATTTTAGGGTTTAGGCGTTTTAGGGTTCAGGGTTTTTTGGGTTTAGGGTTTTTAGGGCTTAGGGGTTTCAGGGTTTAGGGATTTTAGGGTTTAGGGCCTTCAGGGTTAGGATCTTCAGTGTTTAGGGTTTTTAGGGTTATGGGTTTTCAGGGTTTGGGGTTTTTAGGGTTTAGGGATTTTAGGGTTTAGGGTCTTCAGATCTTCAGTGTTTAAGGTTTTTAAGGTTTAGGCGTTTTAGGGTTCAGGGTTTTTAGGGTTTAGGGTTTTTGGGCTTAGGGTTTTTTAGGGTTTAGGGATTTTAGGGTTTAGGGTCTTCAGGGTTTAGGACCTTCAGTGTTTAGGGATTTTAGGGTTAAGAGTTTTCAGGGTTTAGGTTTTTTAGGGTTTAGGGATTTTAGGGTTTAGGGTCTTCAGATCTTCAGTGTTTAAGGATTTTAGGGTTTAGGCTTTTTAGGGTTCAGGGTTTTTAGGGTTTAGGGTTTTTTGGGTTTAGGGTTTTTAGGGTTTAGGGGTTTCAGGGTTTAGGGATTTTAGGGTTTAGGGTCTTCAGGGTTAGGATCTTCAGCGTTTAGGGTTTTTAGGGTTAAGGGTTTTTAGGGTTTAGGGTTTTTAGGGTTTAGGGATTTTAGGGTGTAGGGTCTTCAGGGTTTAGGATCTTCAGCGTTTAGGGTTTTTAGGGTTAAGGGTTTTTAGGGCTTAGGGTTTTTAGGGTTTAGGGTTTTTAGGGTTTAGGGGTTTCAGGGTTTAGGATCTTTAGTCTTTAGGGTTTTAGGGTTTAGGGTTTTTAGGATTTAGGGTTTTTTGGGTTTAGCATCTTCAGCGTTTAAGGTTTTTAAGGTTTGGGTTTTTTAAGGGTTCAGTTTTTTTGGGTTTAGGGTTTTTAGGGTTTAGGGTTTTGGGTTTTGGGTTTTCAGGGTTTAGGATCTTTAGTGGTTAGGGTGTTTAAGGTTTAGGGTTTTTAGGGTTTAGGGTTTTTAGGCCTTAGGATCTTCAGTGTTTAAGAATTTGAGGGTTTAGGCTTTTTAGGGTTCAGGGTTTTTTGGGTTTAGGGTTTTTAGGGCTTAGGGGTTTCAGGGTTTAGGGATTTTAGGGTTTAGGGTCTTCAGGGTTTAGGATCTTCAGTGTTTAGGGTACCTATGGCAGTTTCTCAGAATATTCTCTAAGAGCTGTAAAGCCCCAAAACACCTATCATCTGCGCCCACACAATACTTGTGAGTACTGCATTTGTGAAGTTTAGAGCATAGGGGACTGCCATCAATCTGACTCATCTGCGCCCACCACGCGGGTAGAAACGAGTGGATTCCAGCGGGTACAGACGAGTCGCAAAACGCGGGTACAGACGAGGGGCCTACCAGGTACGAACCGAAGGACCTACCAAAATGGCGACAAAAAGAAGAGGCTTTGTGCACTGCACATGTGTCACCCGGAGATGGCGGGATTTTGAGCGTTGCTCATGTCCCAGGGGCGAAATGGACCGAATGGTCGAAACTCGAAATCCCCCATACTCGGTTTCCACCCAGGATGCGGGGAGGAGTGTTGCCGCCGACATCCAAACAAATTTGAGTGCGCGTTTCTTGAGGCTCACGGCTCAAAGGCAACAACCATGGTTCCTGGGGGGTCCCCTCCCCTCTATTGGACACATACCCAAATAAGTGTTTTCCCAACATGGATTTTGGACCCCCCCTTTTTGGGGTGGCCACTGAATGGGAACCAAGGAAAAGGTTGCCCTTTTAGGTCACCAGTATTCCGAAACAGCCAAAGGTTTCCCTCAAAAGGGGCCCCGCAAAAGGGCGCCCTCAACAAAAGACAACCCCTAGGTCCTCCAGATTCGAGAGGTTAGAACAACGGTACCCTTTCTTTCTTCTGTAGTCTATCTTAGTAGGGAAACCCTCCCAACCAAAAAAGGGGCAAAAGGGCTCAATTCTGGGGGGCCTAGACCCCATTTTTACCAAGGCCCAAAGGTACTGAGGTACACCTTGCATGTCTTCGCATCCGCTGGGCCGCGCACTTCGAAAGCATCTCCCCCGTGGGCCCGCGAGCCGTCACCTCACGATCCGAGAAGGTGGGGTTCGTTGAAGCGATTCATGTCAAGATACGCGTTGTTCCTTTCGGTGTCCCTTTGCCAAAAAAAAAGAAGAAGACACGGCCAGAAGAGGCTAAGGCGTTGGGCACAATAAATCTAAAGTCCCCAACAGGTCGCTCTGGTTCTTGCAGGCCTTTAGGGGCTTGTCAAAACTGCTTTTGGGGGGGGGGGTGTCTACCCGTCAAAGGGAAACCAACAGGGAAACCAAAGTCATTTTGGGGGTCCCTGAAAAAAAGACACGCCCAGTTTGGTACCGAAGAAAGCTAAGTCCTACTGTGGATGGACAAAATCCATGTCGCACCACCTAAGAAACCCTGGAATGATGCTTCCCCTGTAAATACCAGCCAACCATGATTTCAACCATGGTTGCTTAGGTGGGGCGAAATGGATTCCGTCCACAGTAGTGCCCTCATGGGACGCCCAGCGGAACCACAGTGCCTGTCCGTACCGGAAGATTACCAGGCTACGCGGTCCATCAAGCGATTCTCAGGTTATTTGGCTTCCATCTCCACTTTGCTATGCCAGGCCGGGTCCGGAACCCATCAGGTGTTCAGATTGCATCAGACTCGAAAGGAAATGATGAAGTTTGGGAGACAAGATTGACCAGAGAGTAGTCGCTGGTCAAAAATGGGTACCCAAACTGAAACCCTGTAAATGGAATCAAGGACTAAAACCGGAGGTCTGCTTTGAGCAATGGCAGAGCCGTTGAAAAAAAGCAAAAGCCGGAAAGCTCTAGTTGTACCTTACCCATTCTGAACCCAGGGATCCGAATCTTTTCAGGAAACCATCAAAAACCCAGGTTGGAAACAGATCCGGTTTTTGAAAAGAAAGATGGTTGAAAAAAGAATGGGGAATCAACACCTAGAAAAGCATCCAGCAATGCAGATGCTCTTGTGTTTACCGCGCGTGTCGACTGTATCCTTGATGGGGGTGCAGGAAAGCAGGCGCATTGCTACATGTCTCCGTTCCGTTGCCCATGTTTACAGGAATCCCGCCAATACGCATGATTTACAGACCCCTTCTGGAAGATGGATGTGTTCTTAGGATTTGGAGCCCCAAAATAGTGGTGTTCCTGGGTACCAACTCAAAACGAAGGCGGCCACCCACAAGGCGAGCCGGGAAAGGGGCACCATGCACGGAGGGTTGTGGGGCACCTGTTCGGGCCTGCCTTAAAGCACACCCTTACGGCTTTTTACATGGGCTACCCCAAAACAAGATCACACCCATGTGTAAAGGGAACTCCTTTTGGGCATTGGACCCCTCCTGTTGGGTTCCATGTTAATTTAGCGGAGTACAAGTGGCTTTTCAAATTGAACCTACTCTTCCATTTGCTTAAGCCCCCTGGAAAAAGTAAAATAACATGTCCAGTAGTGAAATCGATTCCCTTTAAAACAAAGTGGGGGAAAAATATTCTTAAGCAAATAGAACCTACTGGTGAATTGGCAGGGGGTCAAAAATATGTACCAAAATGGGAACCCTGGTAAATGTGGTCCCATGGTGGTTTAATTTTGACCCCCCTTCTGGGGGCTTCTGGAAGAGCACCAGTTCGACCCCCCGCAAGTCGCACCCGCCCGGAGGAAATCGCGGGGGTTCAGGGGCAAAAAAAAACACCGCAAGCGGCCGTCGAAAGCCATGTGTAATTAGAGGACACTCCAATTCGCAAAATGCTTCCCCCCCCCCCCACAAAAAAAAAAAGATATAGAAAAGAAACTACTCTTTCAAAGCCTTTGTTTCTTTCTGCAAAAAAACACACACACACACACACCCACACACACACACACACCACCCTCCCCCCTCCCCGAAAAAAAGAGTCAAAAATAAACGGACAAAAACAAGAGGAGAAAAAAAAGCGCACCCTCCCCCCTCCCCGCAAAAAAAAGAAACGAGAAAAAACAACAACAAAAACAAAAACACACACACACACACACAACCCTCCCCCCTCCCCGCAAAAAAATAAAACGAGAAAGAAAAAAAAGAGAAGAAAAAAAAAAACGCCGTGCGCGCCGACGCCTTGACGTCCACCTTGTCGCCCAGCTGGGGCACCCAGGCAACGCCTACCCCGTCGGTGCCGCCATGAAACCGAATTGGCTGTGGCTCAAAAAACCCGGTACCAAAATCAACCCTGGTAAACTCCGTGGGCCATGGGCGTATCCGCTCCAATGGAAGTTGGCAGGGGTGGAAAAGCATCCATGTGTCCAATCGCGGAAGTTGACAGAAGGGTTTTGGATTAATGTTAACCCGGGATTAATAAACCCCTAATTAATTAATAGGGGGGTGTCCCCTTTTAGTGGGGATTCATCACTTTTGGAGGGAACACCCCCCTAATGGTGGGACGGGTTTCTTAATCCTGGGTCAACATTAGTCTACGAATCACATCTCCCCTCGGAAACGGAGGCACCTCCGTCGGCCGCTTCACCAAAGCGCAGTTCCTGCAAGGATCACTTCCACACGTCCACCGGCTGGAAGACGAGGAAAGCGTTGAGAAGCAGATGTGGTTTGGGTCAAAATAAGGGAGTCCCCAAGAGAAGTGGTTTCCTCTTGGTTTGGTCTTCAGGCAACGCCGGAAAGGGTACACGAAGACAAGAGAACAGAGACACCATGGGATGCCAATATCGCGTGGAACACGGAGATCAGGTCGGAAACTCGCTCGCATGGCGACGCGACATCGTTCGTGCACGCTGGGTGGAGCTGCAAAGCATACGCATAGAAGACAAGGCAAAGGTGTGTAAGCGTGCATGATGAATCTCAAGAAATCACGGAGAAAGGATAGCGAGCTTGGGAGAACTAACCGCGACAAAAGCCAACAAGGCAACAATAATAATTTGGCTCAGGGCACCCTCTATCCAATCATGGAAGTGGTCTACCAGCGCCATCGTGACGCAGAAACGAGACATGCCCGCAATGTATCTTCAGCTCATTCAAGCGTTGTGATACCAAAGCGGGACTCGCAGTTCCCAAGACTTGTGAGTGCTCAGAAGGAATGAGGAAATGACCTTTCAAACCATCGAACTGGTGGTTTCCTTTGGAATCCCTGGATTTGTTCCATTTCGCATTCCCTACCTATCACACCAGCAAGACAACCATTGTAGCAAGGGAGATGCATGGCATAGAGAAACCGACCTATGAAAATTATCCGCAACCATGACGGAAGGGAGAGGTAAATGGAAATCTCTTAGATTGCGAAGGAAGGAATCATCTCTTTACACGGCCTCACCTAGAGATCTGGCCCTGGGTCAAAATCCCGTACCCCCAGTGAACATCCCAATCCCCACTAAAATAGACTAAAATGGGTGGTGCAGATACTGTGGATGGACGAACTCCCGCACCACCTAAGAAGTCCTAGAATGATCCATGATCCCCTGTAAATACCAACCAACGGTGTCTTGGGTGGTGCGAACTGGATTTCGCAACCATCCACAGTACTGTGGATGGACGAAATCCTGCACCAGCTAAAAAACCCTAGAATGATATGATCCCCTGCAAATACCAACAATCAATGGTTTGCTATGGATTCAAATTGGTGCAGAATTTCGCAACCACCCACAGCATCAACGCGTTGAACCGCCCCTCTGGCTTGCCGTGCCGCCGATCCTCAGACCACGCCCCCTCAGAGTTCGTGGTGCGCTTCAGCGTGGCGACTTCTTCCGCCTGGGCGCCGCAGAGTTCTCTGAAGAACTGATGATAATTGAGTGATGCATTTGCACTCGTCGTATTGTTTTGCTTTTTGTTTCTCCCTCTTCGCGCGTTTGGCTTGGTGGGAGCAGTTCTTGCGAAGAAGCGGGTCCTTCTTTACGTGGGAACTCGCGAGCAAAATTGGGCCATCCCTCTCTGCAGGAACAGGACTCCACGCGGGGAGTTGCCCCAAGATACCAAGAGAATCCCCTCTTTGAAAGGGATCTTAACTGACGAGTTGGGTTCGCGCCACGTTGACAGCAACAGAAGGGTTACTGGTGCTCGAGCAATGCGCAGTTCGAAGAGGCTCGTTGAGAAACACTTTGTGTCCATGTCTCATCGCAGGTGTTGTCAATGACTCGAAGACTAAGTTCAGGTACCGCATATTTCCTTGTTTGGATTGGTTTGGGGATTTGAACTCCCGGCTCTTGTAGAGGGTAAACGGGAAACAAGCCTGAACCACCAAACCAGCGTGCTCCAAGCTACCCTTTTGGAGGAAGCTGAAACCATCAAATAAACAATCAAGTAATCTTGAAACCCAACGGTTGTTAGATGTTACACTAGAATCCTCCTCCGGGTTCGGTCCAAGATGAGTCAAGGAGTCCAAGGTATGACTCGATCAAAGCCTGCTGGCCGGGTTTCAGCACGCCAATTTGTGTGGGAAGGAGGCGACGGTTTTTGGGCCACCCAGCCATCCTGACTTGATAAGGCACAAGAGATGTCTCCATTATATGAACCCCTGGTATACACCTGGAGTTTATGGGTGAATTGGCTTGATATATCGGATACATATATATATATATACGTATATATGAGAACCCCTGATGGAAACCCGGAGTTTATGGGTGAGTTCACCTTCAGTTGCGGGTGTATGGGAAATCGGTCGCTGAAAGGGGTCCAAAATGGCCAGAACAAGTTCCTGAACAACGGACCTATACAATCCTGCATTGACTGGCTTCCAGTTGGCTTTAGGAACCCAAAACCGTTTTTCTTCGCGGGTAAAGCGCGAGCTTCTCGACTTCTCGCGCTCCGGGAAGCTGGGAACAGCGAGCTTTTACTGGGCGTGTGTCCAAAAACTGATGGACAAAATCCATTTCGCACTTTGAAGCCAACGGAAGGCTGTTTTTGCTGGTGTTTACAGGAGAATCATCAGCAACCAGGTTTGATTCGGTGGCGCGAAATGGAGGTCGTCCAACCACAGTAGGGATCTGGACTTCCGCCTCACCTCTCTTGACCGGTGCCAACGCAAATACTGTGGATGGACGAAATCCTGCATCACTTTGAAACCATGAGAAACCATGGTTCCTTGGCATTTTACAAGGGAATCATCAGCAACCAGGGCTTCTTAGATGGCGCGAATGGATTTCGCCCATCCGCAGTATGGGACATGTCTCTCACGGAAACGTCAGCGTGCTGGCTGGGTCTTATCTCAAAACGCCCACGGCCCAAATGGGTCCGGCCGGCCGGCCCCGTCTTTTTCAGGGCACGTTCGATTGGGTTACAATCCTTGTAAGGTGGTCGAACTCGGCTGCAAGAACTTCGTGATCCAACTCCCAAGTCGGATCGGTCTTTATCACCTCTCATGCGAGGAAATTGCGCCCCATCTGGGTATGCGTCCAAGAAAAGCCCAAAAAGTAGTGGCGTTCCTTTGGGTTTCCCTTTGAACCACGGTGAGAAGGGTACCCCAAAAAAACGCCACACGCCTGCTCGCACAACTGTCGCGACACACGCCTGCTCTGAGCTCTGTGAAGTCACGGCATCGTCGAAGAGCGGCATCCTCAGACCGGGCCAACGAAATCTGCGGAGTTACTCACTCAATCAGAGTGCCACCCAATTGGTGCTTGGGGTTGGTGCTTTGGGTTTGGACTTGAACCCCTTTGAAGGGTGAATGGGAACCACCCAAGGGGAGGGTGCCCCGATTCGGAGACAAAAAAACAACCAAGGCTGGACAAAATGGTGCCCTTTTTTGGGACCCTGATTTGTGCCGAGCAACATTGTTTTCTGTGCCAAAGAGTCCTGTTGATCCATAAAGAGTCGGTTTTTTGAGAAGCCAGTCCAGCTTAGAAATGTTGGAAACACTGGTTAGCTGACCTTGGCCTGGAAAACCGCTTTGTATAACCAATGAAGAAAAGCTATGCGGCAATAGATCTATCACCCTTGGTGGTGCAAGCTCCGCAATTCATCTTGAAAGGCTCAGTTCGGGGGTGGCGAAGCGACACATCCTGTGGTTGGACGACACCCATTTCGCTCCACCGAATCAAAACCTGGTTGCTGATTCTCCTGTAAATGCAAGCGAACAACGCTTTCCGTTGGCTTCAAAGTGGCGCATTGTCCACCCACAGTATCTTTGGAAGACAACATGTGTGTCCTTTTGAAACTGAACCCTTTCGGACCAAGTCCAGGTGCACAGAAAAATGCAAGGATTGGCATGGAATTGGCCACCAGATCTCTCCCACAGATCGGTTCCTGTGTGTAAAACAGGGATCCTTACATTACACACCTGAACATTGCCTTGTCAATGGTGGTTTCCCTTTGTTCTGGAGCCCTGTTAAAATCTGTCCAACCTCCGTGGGACCCCCTTCCCGGGGGGGTGGGGCCTGGCACTCGACTCGGCACACTTTTGGGGGGTTCTCTTTTTGTGAAGACGAAAAGTTTTGCAAACCACCACCGCCCCCCATACTCACACGATTCAGACGCGCACCGAGCCGCTGAACGTTGAGGGAGCCGTTGAAACAAGACAAAGGTTTCAAGCCACAGCAAAACCGTTCGAGGCTATGTACAACGAGCCTAGGCAAACATTCCAGTTGATGACTTTGATGGAAAACACGGTCTGACAGCGTCTTCGTTGCAGTGACTGTCAGCCGTGCACTTCCCCCCTGCAAATGGCAAACAAGTAAACGAGGTGTGGGCCTCATCCTCCATGAGCTAAGAGCTTCCACACACACACACACATACACACACACGATTTGGAGGCTCCAAACTCCTATTCTGAGACAAACCCACGCCAAAACACGGGAAGCCCCCCCCCCCCGGCATTGGACTTTTTTCTTCGCCCCGAGGGCCCGAGGGCCCCAGCGGCGGACCCGGCACTGGCGACTTGCGGCGCTTCAGTTCCACCTGTCGGTTGAAGCCTTCCCCGCGCCAGTTGCTGTGACTGGGCGGTACAAACTGGACCCTGCGAAAAGTGAATAACACTTTTAGTGGTGCGGAAGCTATCACTATTGCCTAAAACCTCTAAGAACCTAAGATAACCGCCAAGTTGAGGGAACCCCTTTTTGGGGGGTTTCAACAGCCAAAGAGAAAATCCACACTTTGGGGCCATGCCCAAGTGGGAAAAAGGCACCTGGACTTTTGGGGTTTCTTTGGGGATGTCTTTGCGGTCTCTCGGCGTGTCGATCTCTGGCGTCTTTGGAAGGAGTCTTGGAAAGGATGTCTGTGGGGGATATCTGTGGGTGTCTATTGTTTGGGAACCCTTTGGATGCCTTTTAGAGGGACACCCAAGAAAAACACAACCCAGTTTTGAGGGGGGCCCGATTTGTTTTGTTTTGATCCCACGGGTTGCAATTCCATTGGGGATCCTTTTGTGGACATGGGGTTTTGTGTCCACAAACCATGGAGGGGCTGCCTATTCAATTCATGACCATATAGGGGGGGGTGCTCAAAATAGGATTCGGTCCCCTACATGGTTGGCGCCCTGTTTGGCTTCCCGGTTTCAAATTAAAACCATCCAAGAAGTGTACCCTTCACAATCAGACACACCCACATGTAACAAGGTGCTGCCATGGTCCCGGAAAACAAAGGCTTCAAGTAGCCCCCAACCCCATTCCAAATATTTAGGTCTTTACACTCGATGCTCTACCTCAGGGGCCTCCAAATTCCCCACGCTATTGCCCGAGGCTCCAAGCAAATAAATAATAGCACCTGATGTCCGACCAAGAGAAAACTCACCGAGGCCTAGTCCGAGAAAAAAAAAAAGAAAAAAAAAAGAAAAAAAACTGACAGAATTGGCCCCTGAGAAAAAAAATCACACCACACCATCACTGGGCTGTCCAAACCGATCCCCTGCTCAAAGTGTGGCTTTCGGGTTGAATGGAAACCCAACCACTAAACCAACTAGATGGCAAAAAAGAACCGAAGGCGCCGGATGGATGGGAACCGAAACCGAAGAAGCCGAATGTGTGGAGTGTGGTTGCGGCATGTCCTGCTAACGTATCGGTGTGCAGGGACAAAGCTAAGGAACCGCTCGGCTGGGAACTGCCAAGGTCAGGGCACAAAAGGTCTCCGCTCCTCAGTGCTGGGTCCCAAAAAAAAACCTGTTCCACTACTTAACCATCAAAGTCACCCCCGTTCAGCGGGTTAAAGCAAAACAACGACCAGTTTTCTGACTTTGATACCCTCCAACTAATATGGCACCTGTGGGGAGTTACTTGGAAGATCAGTTTCCTGTTGAAGTGACCCCTGTCAGGTGTTAGTGGGAGGGGTAACCCCCCAAAGACCGCCAAGCTACTGACCCCAGACAACGGCTCCAACTGGGGGAGTGAGAGGCACGAACCTCTCACAGCCGCTCGACTCGGCCTTGAGCTCCTGGTTCTGCAGAGGTATGCCGGTGTATGTTGCCAGCCTCGGATTCAAAGGTCTTTCCCACAGGATCTACTGGGCCCTCCAGATTTGAGAGGTTAGAATCAGGGAACCCGATTTTCTTCTCTAGTCCATTTTAGTAGGGGGGGGTTCCTCCCTCAAAAAAAAGGAACGGTAAAAGAAACGGCACCAATCGCTGGGGGACCTCGACTTGAAACCCATGGAAAGGGGTATTGATGTCCGCATCTGTATCTGGCTGCGCCGGAACGATTCCCTGGCTTCATCCCCTGAGAAACCCTCAACCAAATGGACACAAAAAGGCCACAGACTTGACTCACCACATCCGAAAGTCTAAAGAAGATGTGCTACTTCCTGAACCACATTCCTCCTTAAGTCTACTCAACCCGCATCATTGATCACAGCACGTGAGTACAGTTTCCTCCATGAGCAGCCATGTGTGCCATGGTCGAACTCCTGGCGAAGGTCGTGGTTTTCTAGGATTCCTTGCCGTCCCAAAATCCCTGGGTTGATCCCTACTGTGGATGGACAAAATCCTGCACCACCTAAGAAACCCTAGAATGATATGATCCCCTGTAAATACCAACAAGCAATGGTTTCCCATGGTGTCTTGGGTGGTGCAGGATTTTGTTCATCCGCAGTATCACGCCCAAGCACAGCAACCGGTCGTCTGATGGACGTAGATGGCCAAAACAAGGCCTCACCGCTCGAAACGTCCCAAAACCCACGGACTTTTGGTTCTACTAATATGATCATGGCTTGTGTTGTAAAGGTTTATATGGGTGTAGAATAGGGGCACCCCTGAAGTTGGCGGTGTTCCATTTAGTTTCCTTTTACAACCACAAAAACAAGGTGCCCCAAAAGAAGACACCCCCACTTTCGTCCAAATGAACCCCAGGCAGTACCAACTACAAGATTGGGCCACTAGGAATGGGACTCGCTCCACGCTGGGGCAGCGAGCGATATGTTCACCTTCAAGGCGGGGTGGCTCGGCAGGAGGAAGGAGGACGCCTCGAGGCTCAGCACCGCCTGTCTCGAGCGCCGCGGAGCCAACGCCGACGGAGCGTTCCCGGTCGAATTGAGTGCGCGCCCCTTTTTGCGCCGAAGCAACATCAGCCGTGAAGATACGGGTATGCCCTGTAGTCCACCGGCGCTAGTTCTCGGCCTTCTTCGTCCTGCGTCAGCATGGCGAAGCAAAAGCGGCAGAAGTAGGCCGGGTTGAAGGGGCAGCGCGTGCAGTCTAAGACAACCCAAGCAGCCAGGGCCTTGCAGCAGGCCATGCATGCCCTCTTCCGATGTCGACGCATCCAAAGCAAGCAGGGGTAGGTGCCTCGAATGGGACAGTCGAAACTTTCGTTCAGCAAACGTGATGAGATGAAGTACATGTGGTGCTCAATATCGCCTTGCCTGATGTAGCAGCACCTCTCCCCGAAAGGAATCCTCTCCAGGTCGCACAAACGCGTGCCCATGCTGCGAGACCTCTCCTCCCGCAGCTGGGGCCGGCCTGTCACCTTGATCCACTCGATGAGATCCTTTGAATAATCCACCGATGTTGCATGGCGCATATCCGAGTAGAAAACGCCATCTATGAACATGCAGGCCGAGTTCAGTCTAGTAGGACCATCGTACATCCAATCATCCACAAAATACAAGGCATCTCTGAGGTCGTGCAGTGTTTGACTGGCCAGGACATCGTATTCTTGCTCCTTGCGCCCGCTGCAGTCGCACAAGGCCACTGTGATGATCACATCCTCCGGGCTGACCAGAACCTCCGGCGCCGAAGTCGCTTCGTCGCGCAGAACCCGCTGGCGCCACCGCTGGTGAGGATCCAGCACCGCGTTGTCGAACGGCACGTGGAGGCCTTTCGAGGCTGCGGAAAGCGAAGCGCCTGGCCCAAAGCCTCTCACCTGGCGACTCGGGACAAAGAGACCAAACTAAGCAGAAAGTAAGAGGTCCAACGTGGCTTCCAAAACTTTCAGACTTCAAGGGACTTCTTTCTGTGGGGCCAACAGACCAAGCTACAAACCCATTCTGAGCTGCGAACAGACTCCGAATGCTTAGCCACGAACACAAGTGCTCTTAGTTACATGGCTAAAATAGTTCGCAAACTAGAAAGTAAGAGCTCGAACATGGTCTCCAAAACTTTGGGTCAGACTTCAAAGCCAAGTCGCCGGCTCTATGTCCGCATCAATCGAGCCATCCTGCAGGGCGGAGATCAAAGTACGCGCGCGGGAACTCCACGCCAGGAGTTCTGGGACTGTCCCTAGCATCGACGCCCGATGGGGCCACTTGAGCCGGACATGCGAGGGCTCATTTGAGAAGGGACCACGTGACAATTCCTGACGAGACGCTATGGAAAGCAGGGAGCCCACATGAGTCAGAATCAAAACTCAAGGAGCCGAAGCAAAACTCTACGAGCTTGGCTGTGGCTCATGTGATAAAGGAAACGTTACCCGTCATTTACCGTTTGTCATGCCCATCTTTCTGGATTTCAAACGCGTCTTCTTTGATGTTTGGCCCCGTTTTGGGGTGATGTGAAGGGGTGATGTTTGAAGGGACCTAGATGGAACCCCGCGCAAGTGAGGCGAAAACGGGCCAAACATCAAAGAAGAGGCGGTTGAAACTATGCAGAGGGGGGACGTGCAGGGACCCCTTCGTTGAACAGCGGCGCACCCCCGCCCCCAACTCCCCAACTCCGTCGCTCGGGAGCCCCGCCGTGGGCGGCCGAGGGTCTGCGATCATCACGTCCTCAGCCGGGATGAGAATTTGATGTACCGGTACTTCAAGAACCCATCGGTGCAGGGTACGTCAAGTCTTTTCGTGATAAGCCTCGTGAGTTGTAACCTGAGCGGAGGCATGTTATGGCTGGTAAGTGGGCGGTAGCCAGGCTTACTAAACACTTACTAGGTACCCTGCGCCTTGAAGTAGCGTCGACATGCATCATCTTCGTAAACAAAGTTCGCTCACCTCCATTTGTGGGCAAGAAATGCGGAAAATGTATATGTCCAGTGGCGATTCAGTCCCTTTAAAACCAACAGGGGAAGGTTAAAAGACATGTTCATGTCAGCAAATACTGAACTACCACGAGAAATGCTCTTTCGTGCCTTCACCCAAACCACACCCAACCACGCCGTTTGGCTTGGGAAATGACCCTGTCACTCCGCAAGAGCCTCCGACTGAGAAAGCGGAGCTGGCAATGGCCACCGTCGGGGACTGCTGCAAGTTGTGCTGCTCCCGCCACTTCCGGCCTGAAACACTGGCGAGGTTTTGGTGTAGGGCGGGTTTGGTGTACGGGATTTGGCGTGGGGCTTTTGGCGCAGAATGGGCTTGGCGTGGCGCGGGTTTGGGATGGCTTGAGCGGGTTTCAGGAGGGTAAATGAAGTTGCTTTGCGGTGTTTGGGGGGGGGGTAAATGGCGGGTTTGGTGGGCGGTTTTGGGATGGGGTGGCGTGGGGGTGTGGGTTGGCTTGGGATTAGGGGTTGGTTGGGATGTTTGGTTTGTGGGTTTGGGGTGGTGTAGGGCGGGGGAGGGTGGCGGTGTTGGCAATGGGTTTTGGTGTAGGGTTGGGATGGTTTGGGGGTTGGGGGGGGTTTAGAGTAGTTGGGTTGGGGTTTGGGCGGGTTGGTGTCGGATGTTTGGGGTGGGTTTACGGTGTATGGCGGGCTGTGGGATGGTTTGGGGTGACTTAGGCGTCCGGGGTTTTTTGTCGGGCGGGTTTTGGGGGATGGTTTAAGGGGGTGGGTTTGGGGTGGGATGCCTTTGGGGTTGGTTTGGGGTGGGTTTGGGGCGGGTTTGGGGCGGGTTTGGGGTTGGTTTGGGCTGGGTTTGGGGTTTGGGGGGTTTGGAGTGGGTTTGGTGTGGCCGGGTTTTCGGATGATGGACACACCGAAAAGGAGAGCCAAGGGAAATCGTCCCAATTTTCTAGGCCGAAGGAGCGGCGGCAAACCGACCTGGGTCTCTGAAACTTTTGGGCCCAGCGCGGCGGAGTGAAGAACTCATGAACACTTTCCTTGGGGCGATCTCCGGAGTTCTTGGTCGCTGTTGCGAACCATTCACAACCTCGCCGCTTTTGTGGTATCGAACAATAGCTTCCAGGAAGGCACGATCCTATCCTTACGCTCCCGTACTCGACCCTGGGTGTGGGCCGCGCTCGTATAAACGGCGTGTTTGTTGTTCTGATGCCATGACTCATATGAACAACAAATCGTACAATGCTGCTACCTCCTCTGCAAAAGTTCAACTGTTTGTGGGTCCAAGTCGCAAATCCCAGTGTTTCAACTAAAAAGTGTTGAAGTCCCAAGATCCGTTACCAAATAACCACAAAGATGTTTGTCAAATGCAAGCGACAGTGCATCCGCGGTTTCTTGAGATCAGCATAGGAACGCACCAATCTCGGTGCCGTAGACTGGTCCTGTCAAGCCCCATTGCCGGTTTCTGATCCTATATGATATATCCTCGAAGGGCTCAACTCCCATGATGCCTGTACAAGTCGTGGGTATGTGAGGCGTATAGAAAGGGCAAAGGGTCTATAAAGGGCGTAGAACAGGCATGCAACCCGTGTACAGAAACTCTCTTGGGGGTGGGATCAATTTTAGAATGGTGTCCTTTTCGGGGTTGAGGGGGTGGGTCTGGATGTAGCACGATTAGGACAACGCCGTCGCTGTTTCTCCAACCCGACAGTTTCTTGATTTGGGTGTGTCAACATGAAGATTTGGACCCCCAAAAAATGGGTTTGCGCGTGGCCCTGCTCAAAATATGTCATGCCGCTCTATTGACATGAGTAAATTAGCAAGTCCCTCGTTGCTTGTGGAAATTTAGTAGGGTCCCCAAATAGACCATGGACTGGAACGTTTGGTCGAACCTCACAGGGGGACGCGGGGGGGGGGGGGGTTGGATTAGGCAAAGCGACAAGTCCCATGTGTCCAGGCTCGGACATCCAAAAAGAAATATGGGCTGTTCTCGAGTAGCTTCTTTTTGGTTTCCTTTGGAAAAGACCATCCACAAACCTGCTACATGTCTCGATCATCTAACAGCCACAGGTTCCGATGGGATACGTCCCAAAAACCTGCCTTACAGATTTGGATCCTCCAACGCTCTTTGGCCATGGCTCAAAATCCAAATCGTCCCAGTGAACATCCCAATCCAACCACTAAAATAGGTTCTAAAACGGGTGAGTTCACCAATCCCAACCAAAATGGGATCCCAAAACGGTTTCGACCCATGGTCATGTGCGTGACATAAGCCTTTCTAGTAGCTCGTTTTTGCAGCTAACCAGAATTTTGCATGTTTCCACTCACCAGGGTTCCATGTTTGGGCAGGGGTCCTTACATTATACACCTGACTGAACATTGCCACTTGTAAATGATGGTGTCCCACTTGTAAATGATGGTGTCCAACTTTATTTTGGTCTTGAAAAAGCCAGCCAAAATCCAAATGGGTGGGCAAAATGGATTGATCTCTTAAGGAGCCCGGTTTGGGCCATTTCGTGTTTTGAGGACCACCGCCATTTCGGCGATCTGCCTACGGGCGCAAGCCCAAGGAAACCCCCCAAGCTTCGGCAGATCGATCTGAGCGCCCCCGGCAGGTTGTAGGAGCCTGGCGAATTCGAATTGGGCGGTGCCTCAAAACCGGTTTGGTGGATCCCATGTTGGTTGGGATTGGTGAATTCGCCCAGTTTAGGCTTCCGATTTTAGTGGTTGGATTGAATCGGATGTTCACTGGTAGGATTTTGACCCCATGGCCATTTCAGTTCAAGGCGCCCCCTTTTGACTTGAGCAGCGAGAGAAGAGCCACAAAAGGTTGGACCGGACCCCCTAAAATAGGCGGTTCACTGGAGGCTCCGCAAGAAACGGGAGGTCTGAAAAGCACTCACTCAGCAATCTTGCAATTGACTTGTTTGTTTGAAGAAAAAACTGCTGAGGCATGCTGTGGCAACGTTGCATGGCGACGTTCCCATCAAACATCCAGAGCCCCGGGCCCCGGGCCCCTCTGCAGACCCGCCTCTTTGATCTGCGCCCAGAACATGGTCACCGCCGGCAACTTGCCTCGTCTCGGCCATGGGGGCAACGGTCGAATACTTACTTCAGCTTCATGTTAACCCAGGATTCATAAACCCGTACCATTATTAAGGGGGCCCTCCAAAAGCGATGAATCCCCACTAAAAGGGGACACCCTCCATTACCCCGCCCGGTGGTTTGGTGGTTTGGGGGTGGTTTCCATTTCAACAAGAACCAGGGGTTCAAATCCTTAAACCCGCCAGCTGAGAACAAAAAGCGAGGCACAAAATAAATTGGCTGGCATGTTCATCATGTGCACAAGCACCAGTGTGTGATGCCGCAATCACTACTGCATCTTGCTTGGAGATTGTACTGGTGCATCAAAAAACAGTCGTTATGTCAATCAAAAATGATCATTGCTTCCTGACCCCAGAGATGGTGGAATTGAAGACGACCAAGCCACAAAAAAAAGACACCCCCCAGCTGAATCCATGTGCTGGGCATCTGAATGCAACAGCCTGCCCCAGGTCCTTTCATGCTCAGCTTGCCCTGCTCAAAGCAGGCAAGGACTCGCATTGATCCCTGATGTACCACTAGTGCCTTTAAGCAGTACAAGCCATAGCCATGTACTGAATAGGTGTCAGTTTTCTTTTGGTTTGTTCCCTTTCAACCAACCAAACCAAGGCAAAAAGCGGGGCAGGGGTATCGTGTATGATAGGGTTCCCCTTGACCGATTCTGAAAGTGGGCCTGTCATGTTTTTTGAGTTGGCCCCTCCCTCCCAACATAGCACTTGGCAAGGACTCGCTTCAAGAGGAAACTGATCTTCCAGGTATCCTCCCACAGCTGTTTTCTGTGTTTTAAAGA